CTCTCTCTCTCTCTCTCTCTCTCTCTCTCTCTCGTTCGCTCGCTCGCTCGCTCACTCGCACCTTTTCGCCCCCTGCCTCTCGCCAAGCCACTCCGACCTCCTGGTTTCCTCCTGGTCGTCCTCGTCCTCGTCCCTCCACCGTCTCCTCCCCCACCTCTTTACCTTCCCTCTGTCTCTCGTTCTGTGTCTCTCTTCCTCCCTACCTCTTACCTCCCTCGCTCATCCCTTTCTCTCTCTTTCTCTCCCTCTCGCTCTTTCATCTTTCTCTCGTCTTCTCGTAACCCGACGACGTCCTCCCTCCACGGTCTCGTCGTAGGGTGGAGACCCTCCCTGGTCCTCCCTACCTCGACCTCCTCTATGCCGGTGCTTCTCTTCGGCTCTCATCTCACGAGGTGGAGATGGGAGGAGGAGGAGGTAGAGGCCCCTCGGTAACCTCTCTCCATCAGAGACGATCCGTGAGTCTGCTGCCGAGATCCGGAGTGGTGTGAGGTGGCCGTCTCTATATCCTCTCATTAATATCCGACCTTAGGAGGTCCGAAGCGGTCCGTATGGCCGTGACGCAGCCACTCTATCGGTCCAGATCCTCAACGACAGTCGTCTCGGAAAAGTGCGCGGCTGTCGTTGTTGTCGCGAGATGCACCCATTAATTTAACGAAATAATCGAAGGTTCTCTCTTCGAAAAACCCATTCTGCATTGTTCTATAATTTGTTTTTTAAAAGGAGGAGGAAGCTTACCGTCGTCGCAATTCAGATTAATACGCGTTCATGCATTTATAAAATAAAATGGAAACGCATTATTGTACACATTTAGAATAATATTCGTAACAAGCGCGTAATAACATAGAACTCTAGAAGAGCAACAGGAGGTTTACACACAATATAATTATAACATAAATATATAGTTCTCGAGGAAATGCCTCAATTTGCAGTTTTAACAATAGTCTGTGAGATTTTACCCGAACCTAGCGATGAATGATCTAGTGATCATTTCTTTTGTAATCTACTTACGGGCGCTAATTAACGTATCGTTCCCAGCTATTATTTGGTAATACAAATCTTGCAGACTTTAGCGAAACAAAGTTCCGTGCGATACGCGGAGTAATTTCAATTATCGATCGTGGTGTATGTATCGATTTAATGGCGATCGACGGCGAATTGCCTGCGCGACCGATGATCGAAGCCGCGGATGGATGCGAGTCGGAGAGTGATTGCGGAAGAGCGGGATATAAGGAGGCAGGAGAGAAAAATGACGGAAGACACGGT